TAATACAATGGCTGATTTTGTTGTTGATTTGACATCGAAGACTCTCAAGAAAATACATAAAAGAAAGTGGGAAATCAACCCAAGTACCCCATAGTTGGTGCTATGAAATTACACTAAAGAAGAAAGGGGCATTGACACTATAATTTAGAGAAAGCCTACAGTATTGCGGTTATATGTTTATATGATACTAATTGTTCCCCTTTAAAAATTTTTAATAATTAAATATTGGTTAGAGTGATTATAACATTCAATTAGGATGAGGTCATTTGAGTTGATGCAAGAGGAAATTATATATATATATATCTTTTATTATTACTACGGTGACTGATTTTGTTGCTGATTTCACATTGAAGACTCTCAAGAAAATACACAAAAGAAAGTAGAAAATCAACCCAAATTTAGGGCAAGTACCCCATAGTTGGTGCTATGAAACTACAATGAAAAAGGCACGAACATTGACATTATAATTTAGAGAAAGCCTACAGTATCATGTTTATATGTTTATATGATACTAATTGTTCTCCTTTAACAATTCTAATAATTAAATATTGGTTAGAGTGATTATAACATTCTATTTTGATGAGTTCACTTGACTTGATGCAGAAGGAAACACATATATATCTTTTATTATTAATACAATGGCCGATTTTGTTACTGATTTGACATCGAAGACTCTCAAGAAAATACATAAAAGAAAGTGGGAAATCAACCCAGATTCAAGGCAAGTACCCCATAGTTGGTGCTATGAAATTACATTGAAGAAGGCATGGACATTGACATTATAATTTAGAGAAAGCCTACAGTATTACGGTTATAAGTTTACATGATACCAATTGTTCCCCCTTAAAAATTCTAATAATTAAATATTGGTTAGAGTGATTATAACGTTCTATTTTGATGAGGTCACTTGACTTGATGCAAGAGGAAACAGATATATATCTTTTATTATTAATATGATGACTGACTTTGTTACTGATTTGACATTGAAGACTCTCAGGAAAAGACATAAAAGAAAATCAAACCAAATTCAGGGCAAGTACCCCATAGTAGGTGCTACGAAATTACACTGAAGAAGGCACGGACATTAACATTATAATTTAAAGAAAGCCTATAGTATTATGGTTATATGTTTATATGATACCAATTGTTCTCCTTTAACAATTCTAGTAGTTAAATATTATAACGTTCTATTTCGATGAGTTCACTTGACTTGATGCCGGAGGAAACAAATATACATCTTGTATAATTAATATATATAATTGCTGATGTTGTTACTATTTAGACATCAAAGATTCTCAAGAAAAAACATAAAAGAAAGTGAGAAATCAACCCAAATTCAAGGCAAGTATGCCATAGTTTGTGCTACATAATTACACTAAAGAAGGTACAGAAATTAACATTATAATCTAGGGAAAGCCTACAGTATTATGGTTGTATATTTATATGATACCAATTGTTCTCCTTTAACAATTCTAATAATTAAATATTGGTTAGAGTGATGATAACGTTCTAGTTTGATGAGTTCACTCTACTTGATGTAGGAGGTGTCGAACCGGTCGTCACAGTCACAAAATTAAACCTAAATACCATAGTTAGCGGTAAGCAGAGTTGAATCCACAGGCAACAAGACTAAGAACCTAATGTATTTTTAGTAGTGGAAATGAAATTGGCAATTGATTAATGAAACTAAACAAACTAAATGCAAATAATAAAAGAGTGAAATTGAAACCAATAAAGACTTTATAATAACAACGTTGCCGTTACGGTTTTGGTTCGACACGAGACCAACTCACACAATTCTCCTCCACCCTCTACGATCCCCTAAACCTACAAGGCAAGGTAAATCAATGAAATAGTTTGCTGACACTCTAGGTATAATCTATGTTGTCTCACCCGATCACTCAAGTTTGATTAGTTAAAAAATATCATTAAATGCCGATAAACGCTACAAGACAATACCACTAGTTGGTACGCGATTAACAAATACAATTTGTCAACACGTATCTTCCAAACAACCAACTTCACAATAAACACAACAACAGTAGAAATGAAATTAAATCCGAACACAACTCAATTACAATCGATAGGAAGTAATGAAAAGCAATATTCATCATTTAATTATTTCAAACCAACGTTTATCATTCAACGAGTTCTATGAAAACATTAAATCACAATGGATAACAATATTCATCACAGATTATGCTCAAACCATATTAAAGTATCGAAATCAAACATGAAACGAAAACAAATATAATCCGAAGCACAATACTACCAAATGTCCTATAATCAGGGTCATCCAACTAGTCGAGAGCTGATGAGCAGAGCCGTGGAGTCAATCTCGATCTCGCCTACGCCGTAATAGACAACCGGGAACTTAGCCGCTCATGGTGGTGGTGATGACGGGGGTTGAAACGGTGGAAATGAAGCTGATCATGGCGGAGAGGAGGTAACCGACAGCGATATGATGCGAAGAAGGGGCGAAAACAACCAACGAACAGCCCGGAATACGAACAGTCACACTCGCCGAAAAACGTTAATTTTTTCGGCGGGTCTTTCTAAAAATGGTGGCGGAAATGGGATCCGAAGATACCGATGGAAAACTCTGGTGATAGGGAGTTCAGATGAGGTCCTCGGGAGGTGAAAGGTTGCCGGAAGTGAGCAAGATCTAGGCTGGAAGATGAAGAGGCGCAGCGGCGATTTGGCTGATTCTGGCAGTTTTGCGGCGGCTAAAGCTTGGAATGGGTAGATCTAGCTGTGGGGAAGGAAGATCAAGTCTTGGGGAGCCCAACCGTCGCCAGAAAACGGTGAAATCTCGGCTGGAATGCGAGCAGTCACGGCGGCTGAATGAGAGCAATCACGGCGGCAAATCACGTCTCACGGTGGCGTTGATGGCTGATGAAGATGATAGATGGTCCTAGAAGATGAACCGTCGCCGGAGGCTGCTGGAAAAGAAGATAAAGATTCACCGAAAAATGGATGAATAGCACCTCCAGGTGGACGCGACCTTTCGTTTTCTTTTATAGACAAACTACCAAAATATCACTTTGGTCCCTGCATGATTGAAAAGTGATAAAATCAACCCTTATAAAAATGACAGTTTACCCCCTAAACAGCATAAATGAGACAAAATCACCCCTAATCCATGAACTACAACCTAATATCAACTCATATCCTTTCCAAAATCATTCCAAACACGTTAAATTCAGAAGAAAAATATTAGGAAGCGATTTTCATTCATAAATTCATAAATTCTTTAATTGTCTCAATATACTTCAATTTAATCATACATGGGGTATTTTTATCACCAAAATAAAGTCACTTTCAGGACTCTAACACACTCCCCAACTTACTCTTTGCTCGTCCTCGAGTAAAGTTAAAAGAACTCTTTCAACATTCTCACAAAACCATACACAACAATATTCATCAACAACCAAGACATTCATCAAAAGGTAAAGTGAAGAATTTGAACCTAACATGCAAACAACACAATCCTAAATAAAAAACTAAAGTTTCTGTCAAGATTTGCCTATCTCCATTTAAGCTTCTCAAACACACATTTCATATTCATAACTCAATGTTAAAATGCCATGCAAAACTCCCTAACTTATGTACATGCAACATAATGCTCATTTTCCACACAAGATTTTGACATATTATTTCTTTTCATTCATCACTTGTTTTTTTTTTTTTTTTTCCTTTTTCTTGTCTTAACTTCTAAGCTTTCTAGAAGGTCCGTGTAATGGGCTTTAGATCAATGACTCCCAAACCAGATGGCTATAGGGCACTAAGTGTAGAACACTCCTTGAACTTACTCAGCCAAACCAACTAGGCTACAAGTCAAGACTTTATTTCTTTTTTATAAAGCTTATGATCTATGTAATGACTTTTTAAGCTTTCTAGAGGACCCATGTAACGAGCTTTAGGCCAACTGCTCCCAAGCTAGATAGCTTTAGGGGATTAGGTGTAGAACACCCCTCGGGCGTACTCACTTGAGTCAACTAGGCTACAAATCAAAACCAAATCATCAAGCAACATTTAAGCACTTTTAACACACGCAAGATAATAAATGAAACTTTGCTCCATGGGCATGTAAAGTATGTGGGAGACTTGCATAAACATTAAAACACATGACATTTACACAAAACAGTGTCTAACCACGATTATGGACAAACCTAGCACAAAACAGAACCAATAGTTCAATGTTTAAAACCATGTTGCAACAAACAATTTAAAAAAACCTCACAAAACCTTTCATCTAGCACCTCAATTGCTTCTAAAATGGTGATTATGCATGAATTCATGAAATTTTTTAAAAATGACTCACTTTAGTTCACTTTAACCACTTTTGGACTTACAAGAGTAAGATTCAACATATTTTCAACAAAAAAATTCATCATGCCACAAAAATTTAAGCACAATCCATTCAACACACAATCTCCACAAAAGCATAATCAACAACACTTCACAAAGCTATCACAATCTCCACAAAAGCATCATCAATAACACTTCGCAAAAATAAAAATCAATCAACACTCCCCAACTTAACATGTCATTGTCCTCAATGACCCACAACTACAAACATCCTCCCCAATTTAGCATCAAATGATCTCAAATGGCAATATGATCAATAACATTAAAATCGTCCAACATATTTGAGAAGCAAGAAATCTAACAATAACAACATATAAGGTGGAGAGATACAACCTGAGGAACAATGGTGGGGCTGTCATCAACAGAGTTTGTAGAGCATGCATTAGCATAGCCTTGGACTAGTTAATGAGTTTCCAAACATGACAATCCTGCGAAGACAAAAACATAAGAGCAGTAAAAACATATTTACAAAGATAGGTTGCCTCTCACAAGCGCTAAGTTTAAAGTCTCCAGCCAGACTTAGTGCACTAACATGGCTAATGTGGTTCTAATAAAGAACACTCCTCAATCACCTCTCCATCAATAATGCTATCGACATAAGGTTTAAGTCTTTGGCCATTAACCTTAAAAACTTGTCCCGTTTTTGGGTTTTGGATTTCAACAACTCCGTGAGGGAAAACATTAAGAACAATAAAAGGGTCATCCCATAGTGACCAAAGCTTCCCTGGAAATAAGCGAAGCTTAGAGTTAAAGAGCCACACTTTTTTATTAGGAGAGAATGACTTCCTAACAATGTGTTTATCGTGAAAAGCTTTGGTCTTCTCTTTAGAGATGCGAGAGTTCTCATAAGCTTCATGTCTTAGCTCATCTAACTCTGAAAGTTGGCGTTTCCTATGGTCATCGGCCGTGGTCATATCAAAATTGAATTTCCTTGTGGCCCAATATGTTCTATGTTCAAGTTCTACAGGTAAATGACATGTTTTCCCAAAAACTAACCGATAAGGGGACATGCCAATAGGGGTACGATATGCGGTTTGATAGGCCCAAAGTGCATCATTCAGACGCACTAACAAATCCTTACGATCGGGCCGTACCATTTTCTCTAAGATAGTCTTAATTTCCCTATTAGCACGTTCCACTTTTCCACTAGTTTGAGGGTGATAAGGTGTGGCAACTCGATAAGTGATTGAGTACTTTTTCAATAGTGAGCCAAAGTGAATATTGGTGAAATGTGAGCCACCATCACTGATGATGGCGCGCGGATGATCGAAATGGCTAAAGATGTGCGATTGAACAAAGTTGACGACCACCCTGTGATCATTGGTCCTAGTGGCAATGGCTTCTACCCATTTAGACACATAATCCACTGCAAGCAAGATATATTCAAAGCCAAAAGATGAGGGAAATGGACCCATAAAATCAATACCCCATACATCAAACACTTCCACAATCAAAATAGGATTCAGGGGCATCATATCTCATCTACCAATATTCCCTACTTTTTGACATGAAGTACAAGCACGACAATAAAAGAATGCATCACAAAAAAGAATGGGTCGATAAAAACCACACTGGAGGACCTTTAAAGCGGTCCTCTTGCCACTATAATGACCACCACAAGCATAAGAATGACAAAATGCAAGTACGCTACTAAACTCGTGGTCGGGAACACATCTCCTAACTATCTGGTCTACACACACCCTGTAACAACTGCTGTAAACTAGTACAATGCATGCATAATAATAATAGAAAATGGGCCCAAAACTTTTCTTTTTATTATATGTAATAAGTCTTTTATACACAAAGAGCATCATTTACAAAAAGCCATTTAAAAAGACAAAAACAGGGGAAACAGTGTAGCTATTGCTCCTCGCTTGCCGACGCCCCTCTGACTGCATCATCACCTAGATCCTGCATCCACCAAGGAAAATAACGGGGTGAGCACAAAATAATGCTCAGTAAGTAAACCCTCTAACTGTTTATCCCCGTATGTATTTCTCTTAATTCTTTCCTCACACTTTCTGTTGTTTTCTACTAAACGTCATGGCCTCATTTTACCGGAGGTACAACCGGATGGCATTCACACAACACCATCTCACTCTTCATGACTGTCGGGTGGAGTTCACACAGCACCAACCCGCTCTTAGTGACTCCCAAGTGGGGATCACGAAGCACCTACCCGGCTTTCGTAATTATCGGGTGGAGACCACAAAGCACTTACCCGTTCCTCATGACTTTCGGGTGACAATCACAAAGCATCAACCCATTTCTAATAACTATCGGGTGATGATCACAAAGCATCAACCCGATTCTCATAACTGTCGGGTGATGATCACAAAGCATCAACCCATTTCTAATACTCTTCTCATTCACTCTACTCTAGCACTTCTCATTCTCTCTACCTTTAAAGTAGTTGCATCCACAAAGTTCTCTACTCATAGAGCAAGTGCATACACAAAGTTTCCTACTCTTTCTTAAGTCACTTCTCAATGCACAATTAATGCCTATGGATGGTTCATCTCCACTAATGCACTTATGAAATGCCAACATGCAATGTTGCAAGAATTAAGGTTCACTACTCATACTCAAACCTCTATTAGGCATTTCATCAAACAACTCAAGTGCATAATAAAACTCTACTATAACAATAATTCTATGTCTTTCTCTAACCATCCAAAATGGGAGAAAACTCCCTCACATAGCCATAATTCCTGCCATAGAATAGCACTTCCAAAAAGGATTTCTCAATATCCTTCAATTCCATCTCAAACTACATTTCCAACCCACATCTCACTTCTCACAATTGAAGTGTATGAACAACCACAAGCAATAATAATCTCCATTTAAAACTCAATAACATAGCATATAACATGTATATAACATACATACATAATTGCTATTAAAACCCTAATCAAGAAAATTCTCAAATCTCAACTTGGGTTGGGATTTACTTACCTTGTTATGGAGAGATCTCACTAGCTCTTCCTTTCTCTTGGTTTGCTTGATTTTTCTCTACTCTTTAAACAAATGAACCAAAAGACCTTAATATTCAAAAATACATAAAACTCACAAAGCTTCACATCCAAAGCAAGAATCCTTACCTTAGGATGCCTTAGATTGATTTTCTACCCCAAAACACTCCAAAAGCCCTCAAAAAATCCTTGAACAAATGAAAGAGAAAATGAGATGAAGTAAGAAAGAAGAGTGGCGATGGAGAAGAAGAATGACGGGTTTGCAATGACTTAATTCCTTTTAATGAAATTTATGCACAAGCATTCCCATTTTGCCCTTACTCTTCCTTAGGAATTCCATCTATATCCTTTGATTCATTACAAACACACCCCAATAACAACATATTCTCCATGAAAATTCCTTACATTTTACTCCCCACTTTTCCTACTAATTAGGGATAAAATGGTCAAATTGCCCTTAGGGAAGAAAATATCTAAAACTTAACAAACATTTTGGTCGGCCTGTCGCTGCGGCGAAGAATATTATGTCGCTGCTGCAAAGAATATTATGTCGCTACGGCGTAACTGTCCAGTAGTTTCCCGTGGCTTCAAGCGAAGCCTGGAACATTGAACTTCTTCTATTTCGACCAATTTCAGGGCAAGTATTCAACATATCACTCAATCAAAGGTCAACCAAACAATAATACTAATAAACCAACTCAAATAAGAGCAAAAGAAGAAACATTAGCTACGTACCTCAAGTGGGGCGTTACACACCCTGAAAAGGTCCAAGTCTTCCCAAAAATAATGCTTGATGGTTGCAAAGAATGATCTTTCTGAGTTTTGGTCCACCCTAATGGTAATTGTCCTACGGCCAGGTAATTGACTATATAGGCATACCAAGGTGCTTTGGATTGGGATATTGCAAATAATTGCTCATTCGGGAAAGATTCATTCAAACATTGACCAGAGACATACTCTGTAAAGAGTCTAGACAAGTGGTCGGCGACCACATTATCACTACCCTTTTTATCTTTGATTTCTAGATCAAACTCTTGCAACAACAAAATCCATCGAATTAGTCTAGGCTTAGTGTCTTTCTTGGCTAACAAATACCTAACTGCAATGTGGTCCGTAAAGACAACTATCTTAGACCCAAGAAGATAAGACCGGAACTTATCAAAGGAAAACACTACTGCAAGCAACTCTTTCTTTGTAGTGGTGTAATTACATTGAGCATCAGAGAGGGTCTTGCTTGCACAGTAGATCACAACGGGCTTTTTATTCCCCCGTTGGCTAAGGACTGCACCAATGGCATAGTCCGACGCATCACACATCACTTCAAAAGGTAGGTTCCAATCAGGAGGTTGCATAATGGATGCTGTGGTCAACGCTTCCTTCAAAATGGTAAAGGCAATCATACAAGAGTCATAAAAAACAAATGGCACATCTTTAGCAAGCAAATCACACAAGGGCTTAGAGATCTTTCTAAAATTCTGGATAAAACGCCTATAAAATCCTGCATGGCCTAGGAAAGATCTAATTTGTTTGACCGATGAAGGCGGTGGTAGTTGAGAAATCAACTCTACCTTTGCCTTATCCACTGCTATCCCCTCCTTGGAAACTACATGACCTAAGATAATTCACTTTTGACCCATGAAATGGCTTTTTTCCCAACTAAGAACAAGATTTGTCTCTTTACAACGTTTCAACACCAACTCAAGTTTTTCGAGACAATCATCAAAAGATGCACTAAACACAGAAAAATCATCCATGATGACTTCAAGGAATTGACCCATCATGTCAAAAAATATAATAACATGCACTTTGGAAACATTGCCGATGCATTGCAAAACCCGAAGGGCATGCAACGAAAGGCAAACATGCCAAAAGGACATGTGAACGTGGTCTTTTCCTGGTCTTCGGGGGCAACTGGTACTTGGTTATATCCGGAATAGCCATCCAGAAAATAATAGAAAGCTTTCCCTGCAAGTTTTTCTAGGATTTGGTCAATAAATAGGAGCAGGAAATGATCTTTCCTAGTGGCTAGGTTGAGCTTCCTATAGTCAATACAAACTCTCCATCCTGTGGGAGTACGGGTAAGAATTCACTCACCTTTTTCATTTTCAACAACGGTGAGGCCACTCTTTTTAGGTACAACATGGGTTAGACTCACCCATTGGCTGTCGGATATAGGGTAGATGATACCCGCATCAAGCCATTTGATCACTTCTTTCTTCATCCCCTCCTTCATGTTCGGGTTTAACCTTCTTTGAGCTTCATGCACCGGTTTAGCATTCTCTTCACAAAATATGCGATGCATGCACAAAGAACGGCTAATCCCTCGCAAATCGGCTACCAACCAACCGATTGCTTCCTTATGTGCTGTCAAGACCGCCACTAATCTCTCCTCTTGCTCACTATCTAAGTTGGCGACAATGATCACGGGTAAGGTCTTGTTGGGTCCTAGAAAAACATACTTTAGAGTATCAGGGAAGACTTTCAACTCTAAGACTGTTGGAGACTCAATTGACCTCAGTTGTGTCGTCTTAGACAAAGGTGGTAAGGTTTCATACTTGATGTTCCAAGGTCGACGCTCTAAAGTGGGCGACCTAGCTATATAGGCACTAACCTCTTGAATCTTAGACACGACACTCAAGCTAGATATCTCCTAAACAAATGGATTCATAAGAGTGTAAATTGCATCATCACATAACATCTGTGGGGCATGAGCCTCCACTAGACTGTCACTAGCATCAACCATGAAACACTAGTTATCGTCCTCACGCATCGGTCCTAAACCAGCATTAAACACATTAAGTCTTAGTTTCCTATTCCCAAAAGACACTTCCATCTCTTTTAATCTATAGTTAATGCAAGTATTTGCTGTTGCTAGAAAAGGTCTCCCTAAAATAATCAGTGGCATACTTCCACTGCTCATATACTCAATGTTTAAGACAAGAAAATCCACCAGAAAATATAGTTCCTCAACCTTAACTAACACGTCCTCAATTAGGCCCCTAGGCATTTTGACCGATCGGTCAACTAACTGTAAGATGACTTCAATAGACTTGAGCTCACCTAAGTTAAACCGTTCATATACGAAAGTGGGTAATAAGTTCATGCTCACCCCTTAGTCTAAGAATGCTCTATCAATCGTGACATTACCTATCACACAAGAAATAATAGGAGCTCCAGGATTCTTTAACTTCGGGGAAATGCGGTTTGAGACAACTGCACTTACATTTTTCGGTAAATGTACAGTCTTAGATGTGTGATATTTCATTCACCTCTTTTGCGTGCATAAGTCTTTGAGGAATTTGGCATAAGCAGGTACTTGCTTAATGGCATCTAAAAGTGGAATGTTAATCTGAACCTGCTTAAACAACTCAATCATTTCCTCCATCCTAGCACTTTTCCTAGTAGTGGGAACATTTGGGGGCTTTAAGCACTGAGGAAAGGGTGCTCTCAGTATGTACGATGCAAGGGATGGTTTATTCTCCCCAACGTTTTCCTTACCCGGTCTCTGAACAATTGACTCTACAAGTGGCTTACTCTCACTCTCTTTGGCTTGGTCCCTACCTAGAATTTCCTCTTCTCTACCCTGGACTTTTACTTCCCTCTCAGGCCTAATTAGCTCTCGGCCGTTCTAAAGAGTCATCACAGCCTTGGCTTGTTCGGAAAACCCTCTCTGCTGAGAAGAACCACTAGGGTTACCTATGACTTGACTAGACAATTGGCCTTGGTCCCTCCTATTGACTGCTTCGGCTATTTGACCAATCTGGGTCTCTAGCTTACTAATGGATTGGGAATGAGAATGTAGAAGTTGGGTATTCTGCTCTAAATCTTGGAACCTAGCATTCATGTCGGCTTTTTGTTCTTGCATGGTTTGGAGCATTTGAGCCATCATTGATTCTAGTGAACTAGGCACTGGAGTGGGATGCTGAACAGAATGTGGGATCCTAGGTTGGATGGGTGGTTGGATTGAAGGTTGCTCCCTATAATTGCCTTGTTGATTGGAAGGATTGTTCCTGTATGGCATATTATTGGAGACATTCTGAGGTGGTTGTGGCTTCCATGAAAAATTAGGGTGATTACGCCACCCAGGATTGTACGTGTTTGAGTACGGATTGCTCTGTCTTCGGAAGCCTTATGCAACCTGCACTTGCTCCTCAAAAGGGTTAGGGGCAGGTTCCTCAATTGGATTGTCAAGAGTAGAGTGCATGGAAAAAACATCCTGGTTTGCCCTATTCTGATATGATTGTGTAGAGGGTTGCCCTTGTATAGATACAAACTTGTCAAATAGGTGAGCCAACACCTCTAACTTGGAGCTAATGTCATCTAACCGTGACACCTCATACACGCCACCCTTCTTGGATGGCTGCCCTGAAATAGGCCTTCTAGACGCAGAAATGTAGTGCATTGAATTTTCACTTAAGGTCTCGAAGAGTTGCCATAACTCATTCTCGTCCTTGTGCATAAATGTTCCTCCACAAGAGGCGTCTACCATATTCCTATGCCTCTCGGTTAGTCCGTCATAAAAACTACAAACTAATTGCCACGTAGGGACTGCGTGATGGGGACACTTCCTAAGCATTTCCTTTAAACATTCCCAACTCTCATAAAATTCCTCGCTATCTAGTTGAGTGAAACTAGTGATGGCTCATCTTATGTTGTTGGTTTTACAAATGGGATAATACTTTTTTAGGAATCCTTGTTGCATTTGGGCCCAAGAGATAATGGACCCTATTACCAAAGAATTGAGCCATTGTTTGGCTCAATCCTTAAGTGAGAATGGGAATAAAATTAAGCGCACGACATCTTCATTCACATGTTGAAGTCTAACTGTGGAGCAAACTTCTAAAAATTCATTTAAGTGTTTGTATGGCTCCTCATTTAAATTCCCATAATAAATTGGCAGTAATTGGATGACACTAGTTTTGATCTCATAGTGTTGTGTCTGGACATTGGGGATACGGATACATGAGGCTGAAGTGTAGGTGGTGGGTGCGAAATGTTTGCTAAGGGGCACATGTGCGGGTTCATCCTGGTCAGCCATCCTACGTGCTTGTTTTCTATTCCTCTTACAAGTGCATTCAATTTCAAGATTCAAAGGTAATAACTCTTCATTACAAGACCTTCTAGTTTGCATTCATCAATCAAACACACAAAAGACTCAACAAGCAACGCAACAACAATCTCAAAGAAAATTAGCTAAATGCAAATCCTAAGAAACAAATTTTAATAAGCACACGAAACAAAACTAAAACAAATCTAAAATCTAATAAAACTATAGCCAACAAAATTTCACACAGCAAATATGTTTAATCAAAACTAAAGTTATCAATGCAACCTAAAAGAATTTAATACTAAGAACAAAAATTAAATCCTAGGAATAAAAAATAAACAAAGGTTAAGAGAATTTCATAATCGGGTTATGAAGGATCTTTAATGCTCTCGACACGCTGAAGCGTTTTCCCATTTGCAATTTTCCTGCAAAACAAAAACAAACACAAATGAAACTATTCCAATAAAAATAAAATGAAAATAAAATAAAACGAAGTAAAAATGAAATTATGCAAAGAGACAAATTAAACGGAACACAAAAATTAAACAATTCACCCAAACAAAGTAATCACTACAAAGAAAATAACACAAACAAAACAACAAAGACTAAAATAAACCTAGAATAAAAACTAATGACTACCCAAACACACAAAGTCAAAAGCACGTTGCTCCCCGGCAACAGCACCAAAATTTTGTCGAACCGGTCGTCATAGTCACAAAATTAAACCTAAATACTGTAGTTAGTGGTAAGCAGGGTTGAATCCACAGGGAGCAAGACTAACAACCTAATGTATTTCGAGTAGCGGAAATGAAATTGGCAATTGATTAATGAAACTAAACAAACTAAATGCAAATAATAAAAGAGTGAAATTGAAACTAATAAAGACTTTATAATAACAATGTTACCATTACGGTTTTGGTTCGACACGAGACCAACTCACACAATTCTCCTCCACCCTCTACAATCCCCTAAACCTACAAGGCAAGGTAAATCAATGAAATAGTTTGCCGGCACTCTAGGTATAATCTATCCTGTCTCACTCGATCAGTCAAGTTTGATTGGTTAAAAAATATCATTAAATGCCGATAAACACTACAAGACAATACCACTAGTTGGTACGCTATTAACAAATACAATTTGTCAACACGTATCTTCCAAACAACCAACTTCACAATAAACGCAACAACAGTAGAAATGAAATTAAATCCAAACACAACTCAATTACAATCGATGCGAAGTAATGAAAAGCAATATGAATCATTTAATTATTTCAAACCAACGTTTATCATTCAGCGAGTTCTATGAAAACATTAAATCACAATGGACAACAATATTCATCACAGATTATGCTCAAACCATATCAAAGTATCGAAATCAAACATGAAACGAAAACAAATATAATCCGAAGCACAATACTACCAAATGTCCTATAATCGGGCTCATCCAACTAGTCGAGAGCTGATGAGCAGAGTCATGGAGTCAATCTCGATCTCGCCTATGCCGTAACAAACAACTGGGAACTTAGTCGCTCATGGTGGTGATGACGGAGGCTGAAACGGTGGAAACAAAGTTGATCATGGCGGAGAGGAGATAACCGACAACGATATGATGCAAAGAAGGGGTGAAAACGACCAACAGACAGCTCGAAATACGAATAGTCACACTCGCTAAAAACGTTAATTTTCCAACGGTCTTCTGGAAAGTGGTGGCGAAAATAGGATCCGAAGGTACTGATGGAAAGCTCTGGTGATGGGGAGTTCAGATCAGGTCTTGGGGAGGTGAAAGGTCGCCAGAAGTGAGCAAGATATAGGCTGGAAGATGAAGAGGCGCGACAGCGATTTGGTGGATTTCAGATGTTTTTGCGGCTGCTGAAGCTTGGAATGGGTATATCTAACCGTGGGGAAGGAAGATCAAGTCCTGGGGAGCCCAACCATTGCCGAAAAATGGTGAAATCTCAGCTGGAATGCCAATAGTTGCAGCGACGGAATGCGAACAGTCACGGCTGTGAAATGCGAACAGTCGCAGCAGCAAATCACTTCTCACGGTGGCGTTGATGGCTGATGAAGATGATAGATGGTCTGGGAAGATGAACAGTCGCCGGAGGCCACTGGAAAAGAAGACGAAGAGTCGCCGGAAAATAGATGAACAACGCCTCCAGGTGAACGCGACTTTTTGTTTTCTTTTATAGACAAAGTGCCAAAATACCACTTTGGTCCCTACATGATTGAAATGTGACAAAATCAACCCTTATAAAAATGATAGTTTACCCCCTAAACAGTATAAATGAGACAAAATCACCCATAATCCCTGAACCATAACTTAATATCAACCCATATCCTTTCCAAAATCATTCCAAACACGTTAAATTCATAAGAAAAATATTAGGAAGTGATTTTCGTGAATAAATTCATAAATTCTTTAATTGTCTCAATATACTTCAATTTAATCACACATGGGGTATTTTTATCACCAAAATAGAGTCACTTTCATGACTCTAATAGGAGGAAACATATATATATATCTTATTATTAATACGATGGCTGATTTTGTGACTGATTTGGCATCGAAGACTCTCAACAAAAGACAAAAAAAAGTGGGAAATCAACCCAAATTCAGGGCAATTACCCCATAGTTGGTGCTACGTCATTACACTGAAGAAAGCATGAACATTGACATTATAATTTAGAGAAAGCTTGCAGTGTTATGGTTATATGGTTATATTATACCAATTGTTCTCTCTTAAAAATTCTAATAATTAAATATTGGTTAGAGTAATTATAATGTTCTATATCGATGAGTTCACTTGACTTGATGCAAGAGGAAACAGATAAATATCTTTTATTATTGATATGATGACTGGTTTTGTTACTGATTTGACATCAAAGACTCTCAAGAGAAGACATAAAAAGAAAGTGGGAAATCAACCCAAATTCAGGGCAAGCACATTATAGTTGGTGCTACGAAATTACACTGAAGAAGACACGAGCATTGACACTATAATTTAGAGAAAACCTATAGTATTATGGTTATATGTTTATATGATACCAATTGTTCTCCTTTAACAATTCTAATAATTAAATATTGGTTAGAATGATTATAACATTCTACTTTGATGAGTTCACTTGACTTGATGCAAAAGGAAACAGATATATATCTTTTATTATTAACACAATAGTTGATTCTGTCACTGTTTTGACATCGAAGACTCTCAAGAAAAGACATAAAAGGAAGTGGGAAATGATCCCAAATTTAGGGCAAGTACCCCATAATTGGTGCTACATAATTACTATAGGTGTTCGGTTCCGGGTGCCCTGTATTTTTTTAAGGAACCGGAACCGAAACCAGAGCCGATAGTTCCTTGAAATTTGGAACCAAAATGGTTCCAATTCCTAGGTTTGGTTCTGGTTCTGGGTACCCTGTAAAATTATATGACCCCCCAAAGTTTTTAAAATGGCAAAAAACCCTTAAAAAGTTACAAATACCTGCCTACCTGGCACTTGTTAACAAAAATAAAATTACAAACTCCATTACTTTGTAAAGGTAGATTCTCAAAAGTCAAACTAACTTACTTTAAATGTTATGAAATATAAATATAAATGTATTCACAGTACTTTTTCTACAAAGGTTTTATTAACCCCCTACTCTTTTATTTTATTTTATATTAGTCTTGGTTCTCGGTTCCTATAGTTAGGAATCGAAATCGGAATCGGAACCATACATTAATGGTTCCAAAAATTTGGAATTGGAACCTACCTGTTGACGGCTGGTTTTGGATAAGAACCAAAACCAAACCCCGGGTATCCGCCGGTTCTGGCTCCAATCGGTTCTTTTGAACACCCCTAGTAATTACACTAAAGAAGGCATGAACATTGACATTATAATTTAGAGAAAACGTACAGTATTATTGTTATATGTTTATATGATACCAATTGTTCCCTTTTAAAAATGTTAATAATTAAATATTGGTTAGAGTGATTATAACGTTCTATTTCAATGAGTTCTCTTGACTTGATGCAAGAGGAAATAAAGCATATATTTTATTATTAACACGATGACTGACTTTGTTACTAATTTGACATCAAAGACTCTCAGGAAAAGACATAAAAGAGGTGGAAAATCAACCCAAATTTAGGGCAAGTACCTTATAGTTGGTGCTATGTAATCACACTAAAGAAGGCACGAACAGTGGCATTATAATTTAGAAAAAGCCTACAGTATTATGGTTATATGTTTATATGATACCAATTGTTCCCTTTTAAAAATTATAATAATTGTAGACATCAAAATCTATGGTTATGGAAGGAAGGACGAATCTTGTGAGGTTGAGGCCACTGGCGATCTACTACACTTGCACA